GGGGGGGAGCGCACACGCCGCCGTATTATTATCCTTTTTTTTTTTTCTTTTTTTTTTTTCTGTTTTGTTTTTGTTGCTGGACGTCCTGCTCGCCAGCTGTGCAGGTTGGGCTTTTCAAACCGGTGTTTTGGGCGTCCAGGCATGGATCGTGCCAAAAAAAAACTAATTACGGGAAGTTAACAAAAGACACGTCAAGGATTTGAAGAGATTTCCCTTTCTCCACACCGTCCCACGCTTGTTTATTGTCCCTGGGACTGCCGGCAAATTTGTGAAACCAGCTCTTCCCTTTTTTTCTTTTTCTTCTTCTTTCCCTGTGGTTTGTTTGTCTTGGTTTTTTCGGGCTTTTTTGTTTTCTTTTTGATGCTTCTTTAGCAAGGTCACTTTTATGGGGGGGAATAAAGTTTTATTTTCACATGAGCTCACACTCACTTTTAAACACATTAAGCTCACTTTAAAGCTCTGCTGGGACGTAGGTTCCTAGGAATTTTCTCAAAGGATGCTAGAAGATTGATTTTCTTTTATTTTCACTTCACGTAGTGACTCTCTGCCTAGTAGGAGCAGGCAGTGAAGCAGCGGGTGCTCATTCCCAGCTCCCCGGGTACGAAATGCGAGGGGCGTTATTTTTTAACCCAGTTACTCCTTGGATGTGAGTATGGAGGGGTGTATCCGTAGCTGGGACCCGTGGGAAAGACAGGAAGTGGGCTTGTGCTGTGCACCCTGTAATTGTTGCCTGGAGGTAACACCTTAAGTCTGTCTACAAGTTGTGGCCATCTCTACCGCTTGAAGACCTGATACCTGTTCCAGGTGATAAGGCAGGTAAAGCTTGCAAAGAAAGTAGGGTGGGTGCAACCCCTGCAACCTTCTCTACCAGGAAAGCCTCCACACACCTGAAACAGGGTTGTATCTGAAGAGAGGGCAGGTGATTTTTATTGCCAGTTTTGAGCTCGAATCTAAGGAGCAGCTTGATTTTACAATGAGTGCAATAACCTGGTGGCTGATGAGTTGGTGATGGGTGTAGTATTGGCTGCTGCTCACAGGAAGAAGTTAGGTGGCATGGAAGACAATACGTAACTTCTGCAGTTTGTCTTTTCCCTTTGTGCGTTGGCAAGGCTGTGTTTTTTAGTATTAGTTAATCTGCTGGAGCTGCCATCAGCACTAATAACTATGTCTCACAAGCAGTTAACACTGCTTGCTGAGCAACTTTGGCATCTGTGCAGCTCCTTAGGTAAGTAGTGGTGTGCAAGTGCATCAAGATACATCTGTGCCAACAGGTTTGAACAGCTTGTTTTAGTCAGAACAAGTTCAGCTCTGTCTGGACCCATCTGCATAGACATGTTCTAAGTATTTGTGAAACTGGATTCCAAGAAGGGAGAGAAATAAAACTGTAAGGGCTAAATTTTGAATTGCACAATGATTGTCCATGTCACAAGTTTATCAGTGTTCTGTGGTGATGCACACATGGTTCTGTTCTGTCGCACTGCCATGGCTGATGTCTTGTGTGACTAATCATATCTATCTTGTTTTACAAGTGTTCTGCTTTGAGGTACTGGGACTGTTTGGCTAAAGTCTCCAAGGCCATGCTTTGGGCTCAGAAATTCTCAGAGGAAGTACTCTGGAAAGCAGGGACCTAGACATCTCAGGCTGATCAGTGTTTGTTATCTTAGTCTCTTTGTTCCAGTTTCCCATTTATAAACTGCAGAGTGTATTTTTTCCCCACTTCATAGGATGTTATGAAAACCCATTGGTCTTTGTGCAACATCCAGATTCAGTTGAAATATTTGTGAGAAAATGTATTCCTTTATATTCAGAACAAAATTAAGTAGCACAGTAAGTTAAGCAGGTCATATATTTGGCAATGAGAATAAAGCAATGTAAGAAAAAAACCCCAAAACCAAAACAACAAAAAACCCAGATCTTCCAGTGAGTAAGTCTGTCCTATGCATGGAAAAACAGGAACCTTTTCTTATCCATGATGTTGACTGGTCTCAGATGTATTGGAGGAAAAGGAGAGGCTACAGAAGGCAGCTGCAAGGTAATATTTTCCCACAAATATACCATCCAAATCTTTAATAGTTTGATACAAGCGATAGTTTAATGTAACTTCAAATTTTGTTACTGGGATAGCTGGATCGTCTTTATACTGGTATGAAAGCTTAATATCTGTATGGTATTAAAACTCTGTCATGGTAGTCAGTGGCAGAATAGCATGTTGAGTTGTGAATTGCATAAAAATTATTTCCTTTGTGTTTAGTTTGGTTTTTTTCTTAACTATTTAATTTAATGTCCTCATGTGCTTTGAGACAATGAAAACCAAAATTCCTGCTTTTTGCTTTCTCTGTACTATTCATTATTTATATGCTGCATAATAAATTCTGCAAATTGAACATGCTTTCCCCTTTTTTAATGTGGGCATTCTTGTGGTTATCAAAGATCAAACAAGAACCAAATCCCAGGAATTCTCTATGTAGAATCACACTGACTCCTTACTGGTACCTTTTGGTTCTCAGCATGGACTTGAATATGGGCAAGTAACAAGGTAACAGGCAGTAGTTATCACTCCTGGTGAGGATCAGTCATGGGAGTGATTGGTGCTTGCCACTGGGGTTTCCAGACTTTTGCTGGCAAAGGAGAGCAATGGCTTCTCTATCAGGTTCTAGCATCAGTTATCTCTCTGGGGTCTCCTTCAACTCTTCCCTTGCTCCCTCATCTCCACATGGTTCTCCCCTGTGCCTCAGTGTATAAGCATATGGAAAAATGAACGTGATTAATATAGAGGCAACTTAAGTATATGCAGTTATGTTAGTTGTGATTATAAGACAATGCAAAAAACTTCAAAAGTGGCATAATCACTTATGTTCTGAGACTAAAAGCTGTACTCGTACTCTGGAGAGTGGTTTATGAAACTTGCATTAATGTAAAAGCAATTTCTTCTCCATAGTTTGAAATCAGACTACTACGTAAAATTAAACCTATAATTCACTGGTTTTAATTTTTAATTTTACTTGGAGTAATGGTGTTTACGTTCAGGTTTT